ACCGGTGGCATAGCCCTCAGAATCACAGCAACTCAAACCACCACAGCACGACAGACACTTGTGTCACTTAGGAGTTTCTTATGCAAGTGCAAGCAAATGATAACATAGGGTTCTCATGGTATTTAAAGCTGAGCATTCTTATGAAAACCTTCATAGTCTGAAATGGCCAAATTGAGGAAACAATTACCAAGGATTTATATAAGAAACATTTTTGAATATTTTTAGGTCTAGAAATTAATTATATCAAATAACACATAAAACCAAAAATACCACTAGATGTAGTGTTCACAGACATAGTTTAAAGCTATGGTAACTTGTTGCTGAGTTGTTAAGTGCAATTCTGAAGGAAGGTAATAGAGTAGCTTTACTAAGGAGTTGCTTACTGAGGGAACCATGATTTTCTGTGAAATCATGTGATTTTCATGTATTGTTAAATTAAAATTTAAATCTTACCATGCCCCAAAAGGAGGCAGTTGCATATAAATTCTGGTAAAGAAAGATGGAATGGTGACAGAATAATGAACCTCCAAGATCACCCTAACAAGTGTTAGTTAACCATGACTTAGTTAAAGTAAGTGAGGTCGCTACAAACAGAAGCATAGTTGTATTCAACCTCTCAAAAAAAAGATTTATTTTGGTTAGTAAAAACAGGTATTAATATGGTTCTTTCATGAAAGTGAAGTGGTTTAAAGTGAATATTCAAAAGCAGGGAGTAGCTACAATATCTAGTATTTATAGTTGTTAAGCACTGTTGAATCAGTTCCAACTTATCTCTACCCTATATCAGGTTCTGAGGAGTGGCTGGTGAGATTTGAACTGAAAACCTTGTAGTTCAAAACTCCCTTGTGGTAAAGTGTTTATTCTACAGCACCATACCAGGGCTCCAGTATTTATAGCATATGTATGAATTGTCTAATTTAATCTAAACATTTTACATGTAGCAAGTTATATAACAGGGAATAAAGTAATAGCCTGCAAGTCTGGTTTGAAATGACTCGATGGCACTTAACAACAACAACAACAATAATATGTAAGAAATCAAGCTTTGAGGTTCTTCTTTTGCTAATATGTTATGGCACTAATTAAGAAGAAGAAACAGTTGCAAATATCCATTAGTAATCAAAATATGTTGTTGTTGTTGTTGTTGTCAGGTGCCATCGAGTCGGAACCGACTCATAGCGACTCCATGCAC